GCTGGCCACCCTGTCATCTCGTTTCCATGTTTGATGGGGTTCCTAAAAATTGGTACCATTTGTTGAATACTCCCTTGTGCTCCTTTTCAAGGAGTTTTGCTCTAAATGGAAGGAGAGAAATGAGGTGGTACCTGGAGGGAAAAGTGAGGTTAGGAGAGGCTTTTTTTTTTTTTAAATAAATAAACCAACAAATGAATGAATAAACAAATAAATAATAAGAGCATGTTTGTATCTGAACTGAATGGTCAGTAGTGAGGAGGCATGTGATGAAGTGGGACAGAGGGGAGAGATGGCTAAAGCTGTGTCCTCAAGGAGGTGAGAGGGGAATAGATTTAAAGCACAGATATAAGTAATGGCTCTAATCGGACATTTGGCTGAAATCTGGATATCCCGTACTTACGGAACCCTCCAGGCCCTACCCCATAGGAGGGAGACTGTGGGTCTTGGGGAAGAGCCTTGGACTGAGCCAGGGGGACTGGATCTCCAATGGCCCTGTGCTTCCTCCGGAGGGGCCTGGAACAGGCTGGATAACTTCTATGAGCTTTGGTTTTGGTCTTCTTGTAAAATGAAGATGATTTTACCTGTTCCACAGAGTTGCAGCAGGTATTAAACAAGATAATGTAAGCAGAGCACTTGGCATGGAAAATAAAAGTGATTTCAATCCCATCATCGAGAGATAACCATGTTTACCATTTTGATATATTTTTGCACCAGTCTTTTTCCAACTTAATATAAATACATACTTAAAAATACTATTGTTCTTTACGTACTGTTCTGTAACATGCTTTTAGCACTTAAATATAATGAGGACAATTTTCCATGTCGTTAAATGTTTTTCTATAACATCATTTTTAAAATGTATGCAGATCATTGCAGTAGGTGGACTTACCGTACTCTATTCTAACCAATTCCTGTTGTAGACATCGTAGAAGTTGTTCCTTACTATTTTCTATTATAAATAGCACTGGTACACACTTCCTTTTGGCTGTATTTTCTCATACATCCATGGTTATTTCCCTGTGGAAGTTTTTGGGAAATGGAATTGCAGCTGAACTGTGGACAAGCTCTTTTACCTTGCTACAGATAGAGGAAGAAGAGGATTTAGGGGATAGCACAGATGGTAGAGTGAAGTGTGGTACCCAAAGGGTGTTGATGAATGGGTTGCTGTTGTTCTGGAAGCAAGGCTCTGGGGGTCTGAGATAAATCTCTAGATGTGGCCTTTCTCCTTTAACAGTTTAATTGCTGCTCTGGTTTAAGACATGAAGGCAAACTTACCAAATATGAGGGAGCTGTGAAGCTGACAAGGAAATGTTGAATAATGGAATCAAGATGCAAGGGAGACCCTTAGTGGCAGGAAGAATGGGCTGAAGCAAACAGGAGAGACTGACTAGGGAAAACTGTACTGTCTTAACAATGATAAATCTAGACTATAGATGTTGGGGCTAGAGGAGAGCTGGATGAATGTCAGGTCATGCCAAAAAGACACAGGGGTTGATGTGATGTGGTTGTCCCCCAAACTCATGCAAAACAACCCAATAGACCTCAGGTGGTATCAGTTTGAGTACAGTGTCTAGACCACGTATCAGTGGAATGTTGGTGAGATGGAGCTCAGCCAAATAAAAAGTGGTCAGGCTGGGGAATGATTTAGACCATGGCTGTGCAACAGAAATATAATGCAAGCCATGTCTATCTGTCTATCTATCTATATATCTATCTATCTGTCTAAAATTAAAAATTTTCTAGTAGACAGTATTATATTTTAGATAACCCAACCTATCCAAAACATTATCATTTCAGCATGTAATCAATATAAACAAATTATTAATGGCTATTATTGTTTTTCCCCTTAAGTGCTAAGTCTTTGAAATCCAGTGTGTACCTTACACTTCCAGCACATCTCAGTTCAGACTCTAAATTTTCAATGGTCAAAGTGAAACCGAAACAAAAGTGTGTATTTAGTGGGAAAATATTTCATACTGCTTTTGTTTTTAAATTTAAAATTTAAATAATTAAAATTAAGTGTAATAAAAATTGAGATCCTCAGTTGCACGAGGAACACTTCAAGTGCTCAATATCCCCATGTGGCCAGCGGCTGTCAACATTGGACAGCGCAGGTCTGTACCCTGTGGATGCTACTCAAAGTGTGGTCCATGGACCAACAGCATCTGCATCCCCTGGGAGGTGATTAGAGATGTGGATGTTCAGGCCCCACCCAGAACTCCTGAGTCAAAATTTGCATTTCAGCAAATTCTCTAGATGCTTCCTGTGCTCACTACCATTTGAGAAGTAGTGATCTAGATGTCAGGTGATGATTTGGGGAATTTCTGAAGAAACTGGGTGTGTTTTGCATGGGAAAAGGAAGCCTCAGGAGACTGTGATAACAGGCTTCAAAATATTTAAAGACCTGTATGTGGGAGGTGGGAAAGATGTGCTCTCAGGTGGAAGAACTAAGACCACAGGTGGAGGTAGGGCTGGGGTGGGAGAAAGGGAACTGAACTTTTTAGAGCTTCCATAGTTAGTCTCACTTAATCCTTGTTACAACATAACTGGACCTGGAGTTAAGTCAGACAATCTGAGTTTGAATCTCACCACTGCTAATCACTGTGCATCTTGAAGGAAGAATTACTTAGCCACTCTAAGCCTCAGTTTACTGTCTGTAAAATGGGAAAAATAATAATCCACCTGCCAGGGCTAATGTAAAGACTGTGTAGGCAAGGACCATATTCCCTGTATTTACCACACCCTTTCTGAGCTCGGCACAGACCTGGCATAGACTCAGCCCGCAATAGCGATTTCTCTGTAAACCAGGCGAAGCTCTGATGTGTGAAGGATGGCTATTACTGCTGTTAGCAGCAGGCTTGTGGTTTGGGCGACAGGTTGCGTTTTTCAGTAGACACAAATGAACCCTGCCCCTGCGCACCTTCATCCCACTGAAAGCCCATTTTTATTTACAGCCCCAATTGATCTGGATCGATCTATCCTCAAACCTTTTCATCAGGAGGGTGAAAATAGAAAAGCAGGGAGGGTAGATCGGGGGTCCTCCACCTTCCCTTGCTCAGCAGGTGGTGCCAGGTCTCTGGCCACTTTCCCACAGTTGGGGTAAAATATCTCGAAAGCATGGTACTGGGTCATTCCAAAAGGGGGAGGAACCTGGCCCATCAGAGCATTTCTCTGCTAAAGATCTCATTGCAGACTCGCCAAGCCACATCTGTGCTCTGTCAAGTAAACAAAGAATATCTACAGCTCTCAGGCAGGCACTAACATTAGCCAAGTGAGGGCTCTTAGGGGACGAGGGAAAGGAGGCTCGCATTTGGAAATGAACTACCGTACGTGGATTTATTGCACTGCTTTTCCGATGGAGAGGGGGAAGTATTTTTCTCTGGGAGATTAGAATTTACTAGTGGATTCAAGTGTAACTTTGGAGCGTGGCAGAGGCATTAGATGTGGCAGTATCACAGTATTATTTTATTGGCAATTAGATTTCAAACTGGCATGTATGTATGAAAATAAGTCTCAATTATGGGCCTGCGAATTTTCTCCACCATCTGTCAGCAGTTTGCTCCTTATGCCACAACACGTGTACCTTTGGAGGGAAAATGATTTAATAGCCCAAGTCAAGAGGTACAGCTCACCAAATTATATTGGAGTTTATAGCCAAGGACTGCATTTGTGATTTATGATGCAGAGAAAGCAAATAGAAACTTCTGTGCATGTGTGCACGCACGCACATGCGTGCACACCCACACCCACACCCACTTCAGGGTCTCACAGATGTCAAAGTTGGAGAATACCTTCAAAAGGAGTGAGCTTAACTTCTTCACTTTACAATTGGGAAAAATCAAGTCCCAGAGAGGGCCAGGGACTTGTCCAAATGACACTGTGACAGGGGCCAGAGCTGGAACTATAACCAATAGGAAACTTAGGATTGGGGCAGTGGTGGGTTAGTAAATGTGTAACTACCTCTGGGAAAATGAAAGCCCTGATGTGTGGTGCTTGTCTATTCCTATGATGTAAATACTTTCATGGTGGTGATTTCACACCAATGTGATGCCACTGAATATGGAGTTTGGAAGGGATGTACAGTTGTCTCTCATAAGCCAATTTCTGTAGTTCCAGTGTACCATTGTTAAGGGGAATGAAATTGCTTAGGGAAATTTTTGGTTTGCCTGTCCAGCATCTGTTTCCCCTTCTAGTAAGAGTGCCCTAATTTTTCCTGAGGGCATCCACCCCTACCATGTTTTTGACCTACATAATTTGGGTAGGGTGATCCCATCCAAGTCCAGGAGTGGCACGTGACCCAGGCCTGGGCCAATAAATGTATTTTAATCTCCCTGGACATTGATTGGTTCAGGGATGGGCTTGTGGCCCAGTTTGGCTCTGGGAGTCAGGCCCAGGACCTTTGTTTGAATTGGTGGTCTTAGAGCTATGAAGGAGTGCCCTGGATCTAGTGGTGGCCAGCTTGCCACCATGAGAGAAGAGGCTGTCTGAGAATGAAGACAAACACAGAGGAAAACAGAGCTGAGAGACAGAGAGAATAGAAAGAATGGGCCCTGAGTAAATTATTTGCTTCTGGATCTGTCCCAGCTTCCAGTGTAATTTCTGGACTTTCTGAGAATCAGTGAGCATGTTTCTTTATCAAGCATGTTGCTTCTGGTGGAAAGAGGCCTAACTAATGAGTTTGTCCCTGAGAGTTATACTAGGAAATCTCTAGAGCCTTTGGGACCTGATGCTTGTTGGTAGAGGTTGAACTCCATGAGGCCACGAACGTTGTCTCTCTTGGGCATCATTGCTTTCACAGAACCCAGAACGTGCCTGACATATGGGAAATGCTCAATAAATATTAGTGGAACATCTTGTATCAGTCAGGTTTACTGTATATACTGTATACAGTATATACTGTATACTGTATATACTGTATATACTGTATACAGTAACAAACAGCTTATAACAACAAAGTTTTATTTCTCAAAATCTTTTGTCATTTATGTTGGTTGCAGCTCTGCTCCATGTATCTTCATCTTAGGATCCAGACTGATGGAAGAGCTCCCATCTGGGACATGAGAATCTCATGGCAGAGGGAAAAAGAGCAAAGGCGGAACCTTGTGATGGCTCTTAGAGTTCCTGCTTAGATAAGGTACTTGACACTTCTTCTCATGTTCCATTAGTCAATGCAAGTCACTTGGCAGGGAGGTGTCCTCTATAGCAAGACACTGCGTGCCACAGATATCAGGAGAGATTTATAATCAATCCCCTTATGGGTGGGGGAGTGAGTAACGGGGAATAATAATACAGGTAACCACACACTTAAAGGGAGAATGTGGGAACGCAATTAGACCTTATCTTGTGAAACTGAACATTTGAATATACACTGACCCAGCAATGCCCAGAGAGCTTCTTGTATGAGATGCATGCGGGAATGTTTCTAGGAGCATGTTTGGTACAGCACAAAACCCCCAACAACTCAAACATCTTAAATGTCTGTAGACTGGTGAATGGATATATAAATTAGAAGACATTTACACAAAGGAATAGAAGGCAGCGATGAAAACGAGCAAACCTCAGCTATTTGGAACAACATGAATACATCTTAGAAACATATTAAGTGAAGTAAGCAAGTCTACAGAAGACTGCACAGAGTTTGATTCCAATTTTATAAATCATTCTCATGTGAAAAAAATTATGCGAAACTTAAATGAATGATAAACACAAAAATCAAGATTTGGCTGCTTTGGGTTGGGGAGAGTATGGGGATGGGATAGGTGGTTACACCTTACTGGTGATGGTCTAGCTTCTAAGTTGGGTGGTGAGGTGGGGGGGTCATTTTCATACTATACATTTTAACACATTAGTTAGATTCTTTCGTCTCTATCAAATATTATGTTCAAAATGGAATTAGAAAGAGTGCAAAAGTAACAACTAGGAAAATAAATAATTATAAAAAAAAGTTAAGAGTGATTATGGAAAAGAGCTGTCTTAAAAAGTGGGCTTTCTAGAAGCAAATTTGGTAAATACACTTTGGGGCAGAGTTCAGGGGCCTGGAACAGAAGGTGGGGCGTTGAGGGTTCTGGCCTCTCAGCACAGACCCTGTGCAGGGGGCAGTTCACACCATCAGACCTCCCCACGCCTGGGGGAGGATCAGCGTCCTCACTGGCCCCAACATCATGCTCATTAGGCCACTTCGGGGACTGAGATGCCTGGAGGCACCCTGCGTATGGGCCTGAACATTCCAGGTCTAAAAAGGAAGGTCCACCACTGTGGATGAACACACCTGGCCACTGCGTTTGTCCAACAGGTGTCTTGATTTAACTGCCCCTGAGTTTGGTCCTCTCTGGGTGTATAGAGAAGGCTCCATTCTGGCCCTGTAAAGTTGAAGACGTCCCACCCAGATGGCTGGTAAAGTTGGCCGCTGCTCTTGGTCACCCCCATGCAATGCTGACCACCCCAGTGAAGCTGCATTCTTCTGGAAGAGTCTCTGATCTGCCTTCCAAACTCAGGGCAGGAGAAGGAAGCTTCAGATTGCATATTATGGATCCCTAGTAAAATAGCCCAAGAGCACCTGCCCCCAGATGTTTCACCACCTTCCTGGGCAGAGCAAGTTATATTACTGAGGGAGGGCTGCCTGCTGCGGTGACTCCGGGGGCCCAAGTGGTCTGAGTCTACTCCCTCAGAGAGAGGGAGGGAGAAGGGCGCTGTGGGGAGCCTGGAACCAGAGCATAGGTGAGACCTCCTGAACCTCCGAGTGAGGGGAAGCCTACCCACACCAGCGCTCGCTGAGCTTCCTTGCCCACCTGTGGAGCACGTGCCACATCTGCCTTCTGTCTCCTGCTGGGGGGCGTGCTTGGAGATCTCTACACATTCAGGCTCATTCACCTCATTCATTTTCGTTTGGTTGCTTCTGGTTACAAGTAATAGAAACCTCATTCATTTTAGTTTGGTTGCTTCTGGTTACAAGTAATAGAAACCCATAAAAAATGGAATTTTTGTCCATTTGCGTTTATATAGGAGTAGGTATAGCTTTAGGTGAAACTTGGTCCAGGAGTCAAAAAAATATCGCAGAGCCCTCTCCTCTCTCATCTCTTCTTGGCTCAGCTTCCCAGTGTTGGCTTTATTTCGGAGAGACTTCTCACCACTCCCAGTACCCAGGGTTCTCCCAGAGCTTCTGAGGCTCCATTAAAGTCCAGCAGGAAAGAAGAAACTTCTCAGTCCCTGTTCCTATTAGAAGCCCTGAGGTTCATCCTGTTGGGGCTGGCTTGGTCACATGCCCCTTCCAAGCCAATCACAGTGGCTGGGGAATGGGATGAATTGATTGGTGTAGCCAGGTCACAAGATCTCCTCAGGGCAGGGGATGGAGTCAGCATCCCCAGAACCTGTGGATTTTCAATAGAAATCCAGGACTGTGAGGAAGAAGGAAGGGGGACTGGATGCTCAGAGGGTAGGTAATCCACAAACAATCACTTCCTGTCTGCTGATGCTCATGTTAGTCATTTTGGAAGAGCGCCTTACACCTCAAAGATGTTTATATGCCATACGGGTGGTAAAGGTATTTTTCCCTATGGTTGTTTGCCTTTTAAATTTATGTTTTTAAAAAACCTTTCTTTATAACTATGGTCATTTTCAAGCATACACAAAAGCAGAGTGAATAGAATATTGAACGCCTCCCTGTACACATCATCCAGCTGCAGCCATTGTCTTATGTTGATTTTTGTCTTTCAGAAGTTTCAAATTTGTACATAGTTCAATCTTGTTCTTTTCTACTGTGGCTCCTCCCAATATTTGTAGTTGTGTTTAGAGAGGAGTTAGATAAATATTCAGTTATATTTCTTCCTAGGTTTGCTTTTTTGAATATATGCTGTGAAGTGAGACTCTTTTTTTTTTTAAAGAAGATGTTGGGGGTAGGAGTTTATTAATTAATTATTTTTGCTGTGTTGGGTCTTCGTTTCTGTGTGAGGGCTTTCTCTAGTTGTGGCAAGCGGGGGCCGCTCTTCATCGCGGTGCACGGGCTTGTCACTATCGCGGCCTCTCTTGTGGTGGAGCACAGGCTCCAGACACGCAGGCTCAGTAGTTGTGGCTCACGGGCCTAGTTGCTCCACGGCATGTGGGATCCTCCCAGACCAGGGCTCGAACCCGTGTCCCCTGCATTAGCAGGCAGATTCTCAACCACTGCACCACCAGGGAAGCCCTGTGAAGTGAGACACTTAACAGGATTTCCCCCCAGGTATCCAATTTCCCCAGGTCTGTTTATTGAATCATCCATCCTGTTCTCACTGATTTGTGAAGCATCCTTGATTTGATATTAAGTTCTCGCATGTACCAATATCTGTTTCCGGCTACATACACTGTTTTATTGACCTGTGTGTTCTTGCACTAATACCGACGTTTTAAATTTTATAGATGTATAAATAAGTTTTCATATCCAGTACACCTAGTTCCATCACTATGTTTCTTTTTTCAATATTTTCTTGCCCAACTTTATTCATTCTTCCAGATGAAACTTAGACTCATTTTTCCAAGTTCAAAAAAAATTCCCTTAGGATTTTTATTAGAATTGGTTAAAGTTCTGTGTAAAGTTGGAAAAATGAACATTTTCTTCATAGTCAGTCTTCAAACATAGAAATACGGCATATCTTCCCATTTATTCAGGTCTTGTAAGTCCTTCTGTAAAAATGCATAGTGTCATCTCCTGCGAGGGCCATTCCTGGGTTGTTTATGTATTTTGCTTTGTTTATGGATGAGAAATTTAAAACTTCTCATTTTATTTTCTTTATCCATTCTCTATGACTTTTTATTTTCATCAAGTTTGAGTCACTCTGAGGGGTTTAGACCATGCTTGCTAGGAGCCCACCACCCAATCTGCCAGAGATTATATTTTGCTCTAAAAGTGAAGTCACTTGAGCACTTATGTACAGAGGAAAGAGCATGAGATTTGACACCAAGACAAGCCTGAGCTCAAGTCCCTGCTCTGCCCTTTATCGAGCTGTGTGTCCTTGGGCAAATTTTCATTTTGCTTCTCCGAGACTCATTTTCCTTATGTGCAAATGGCTGTGGGTTGTTTTCTTCATTTTTTTTTTTTGGGTTTGCGGGCCTCTCACTGTTGTGGCCTCTCCCGTTGCGGAGCGCAGGCTCCGGACGCGCAGGCTCAGCGGCCATGGCTCATGGGCCCAGCCGCTCCGCGGCATGTGGGATCCTCCCAGACCGGGGCACGAACCCGTGTCTCCTGCATCGGCAGGCGGACTCTCAACCACTGCGCCACCAGGGAAGCCCTGTTTTCTTCATTTTTAATCTATTTCCTTTTATTGTGTTTGCTTCTAAACTTCTCTTTCTTCTCTAGGGGAAGCTAAACTTTCTGGGAACAGAGGCTATTCCTCCTCCAGGGCTGCATGTGGGGAACATAATCAGGTAACAGTGGATGCTCAGTACCGCCAGGCGGTACTGATTGAAGAGTCTAGCCCATGGACACCATTTTGTTTCATTCAAAACAGAAGATACTTTGAAATAACCTGGACCCCTCACCTGGATTATGGTTCTTTAATAAATCTTTGAAATATGGATAATAGTTAATGAGATTAAAATAGTCAAGATTTACTGAGTTCTTAGCATGTGCCAGGCACCAGGTGACCACAGTCCGGGCGTGATCTCATGAGACTGCACAATACTTTGGTGAGGAATGTGTGATCCCCATCTTAGCTCAGAGATTCTAAGAAGCTAAGATCATGCAGCCAGGGTGTGGTACAGCCAAGACTCAAACCAGCTCAGTGCCCTGAGTCTGCGCACCCTGTCATCTTCCTTATGACAATCCAGTAGTGTGTTAACAGTGCCTCAGGCCTTGGAGGTAGCTGGAAATACTGGTCTTGTCCCCTCCTTCCCTCTTTGATTGTGTTAGTTGCCTTCTCTTTCTCCCTCCATTTTAAGCATCCCCAGAACAAGACTGTGATCAATACTTCTCGCCATGGTGTTAAACTCTTACCCATCAAGTCTTTGCCACCCCTTGCTTTCTTGACAAGAGTGGCCGTCTGGCGTGACCTTGAAGGACTGCTGGGTGGTTGAAAGGGGTATGGAGTATGAAGGGGGTACAGAGAATGGAGGCAGAGGACTCAAAGCCTGGCAGGATGACACTGGGGAAAGAGCTCTGGATGT